ATGTAAAACAGTTATATAGATGTAAATCTTGGGGCCATCTCTGAGGTCCCTGATATGATTCTCGATCGAGTGAACTTCGAATATTGATATATTTCTGTCGTTTTTCGGATTTCCATAATGCTTTATCTACTTAAATTGGGATTTACGCAATGTACGAGTATATTATGTTGTCTAATATTAATTTATGATGCTTGTATAATGAAATGCTTCATAATCAAACCTTTTACGTCCCCGCTGCAGGGGCTTAGGCCTTCTGGATGGTAAAGGATAATGGGCCATAACCTTCCACGCTGGCCCATTGCAGATTGGAGAGTATAAACGATTGCAAATGCAGTAAGGATCAACGTCTAAACATATTTTTGCAAAGCACAAAGTAGCTCAAGATGATAAATTTTTGGTCACCCATCCCGTCACAGAAACTTGCGAATTTTGCTTAACAAGAACGATCGCAACGGCGCTTCTACATTACGATACCGAGCTACAATGAAATGCTTACATTAAATCTAATGTAGGAATACTTTTTCGAATAGAGGACGCTTTGCACAAAACAAAAGAACCCACACTTGAAAAAAAAATAGCCGGTGCGCTGTCATTTCAAGAATTAACACCCTAAACACTTGGCTGTTCAAGAGGGTTGTCGGGTCGAAGGGACCGCGGCTTACATTTATGGTGTTATTGTCCCCGCTCGCCCCGTCCGACGACGCTTTTTGCCCTTTTTATGTAGGCTTCGGGTTAATTTGGCCCACTGTTTTTGGGGGAATCTTTCTTTGATTGTGTTGCATTTTAGGGTATTTGTTTTTTTAAGTGATGTTATCGAAGTTTTTATTTGTGTTTTGAATTGTTTAAACGACTGTTTTCCGTTTCTAATGATGGTTGTTTGCAGTTAATGAGAAATGAATAGAAAAAAAAGTTTAGATCTTTTTATACGTTTATATATTAAATACGAATTAAAAAGAAATTACCTACTGTAAGAGACACTAAGAGTAAATTTAGAAGTTTTTTTTTTAATTTATCTACGTATTTTTTGACAAGTTAACCCGAAGAAATGCCATTGTAAACCCGGAGTGTAAGTAATTATCACTTCATAAAATTTATAAGATAATCGATAAAATCTATAGCATCACTATTTTAGTCATATCTGAATCAAATCGGACGCCTGTACCACCTACGGGGTGGTGAAGAAAATAAAAATACGACTACACCTCTGATGAGAGATCTCAATGAGAAATTGAAAATTAATATTTCAGTCGAATTCCGCTTTGTTTCAACGTACGCCTTTGAAAAGTACGTGCATAGCCAATAGAAATTATTGGTCTTTCAACGACTTTAATGCATTCATATTCGGTAATATTATATTCAAATGAACTACAGAATAACTAGTCGTTGCTATTTAGTGTATGAGAATATAAAAGAGGTTGTAGTCGATGGAAGGCGTTTCGTTGACTATAGAATGCTGCTATAAATTAAATGATATACATAAATAATTATGATTACATAACAGGGATGACGTCTGGGTAAAAAAAAAATACAATTCTATTTAGTCCGTCTGTCAGATAATAGAAAAATATTAGATACGTATTTTTTTTTACTCCTATTTATCAAGAAATAACTTAGATTACAGACATTAAAGTTGAGAAGTGGGTGCTCGCTACGTCACAGTTGAGTAGAAAACGTACCATAACGTGACGTCATGCGATATTTCAACTCCATGTAATGTTGTAATTTTATGATTACGAAAAAAATAAAAAAATACGTGTTTAATATTTTTTTAAACTCTACCTGACGGACAAACAAAAAAAAATAGTCGTCATACCTATTATACATGATCGAGGTCAAATTTATTTGTGAAAAAAAAATAAACAGTAGGTATGTGTAGAATAATAATTAATATTTCATCATCAAATTTATAATGAAACGTAGGTTTAGTGAGTGCATTCGATTGAGGCTTCTTTTGCAACGACCATTCCAGATATACATACGACCAGAATGGATAACCAACAATTATAACAATTTTTTTAAAGTTGATTGTCAAAGTAATTAAAGGAAAGTAAAAAAGGGTCAGTCTCTGTAGCATGTTAATTTTTACAAGCTTTCATTTAATTTATCTTGGAACGCATATATTATTTTCGTCAAATATCACAAGAATAACTGTTCAAAAAATGACTTCACTTTAAATCCAGTATGGCGGACTACCCAAGATGGCGGGCTAGTTAACTTTAGGAACTTTTTAATACATGCAACCAAAGAAAGGTTTGTTGAGAAGATTGAGATGAAAAGATTAAAAGAACATATTTAAGTGTATAAATAAACACAAGTTTTAATAAAATGTAAAATGTTGCTGTGTCAAAAAGTAAAAATAACCTTTTTAAGAAATCGAACCCATCTGTAGGTATGCTATTTAAGAAACTTCTTTTAAAAATACTTATTATGAGAACGTTTTTCCTTGAAAGAAAATTATAAAATTTGGGAGTACGTAAAATTACTTTCGTAGCTTTCGTAGCACGAGAAGTAGTTAGTAGTTAAGTATTTTTAAATTTGTTTTGTGTTTCCAAAGATTAAATCCGAGACCTCTATGACCAAGGGGACTGACTGAGGTCCTGGGTTGATGTAGATAATAAATATTTCCATTTTTAGTTGCTGTGCCTTCCTTATTTAAAATTTCAATAATTTTACTAATTTGGCAGTAAATAATTATCTCGAAGTCCGAGAAATCCATATGATTGTCAACCGGTTTCTGAATTGAGAAAAGTATAGAATATTAACTTTTTACTTTTTAAGTGATATTTCAGTTTGAGACTTTAAATTCTCAAATCAGAAACCATTATTGTTCTAAATTCCAATATTTTTGGTTCATCTATCAATTCTAGTGCGTTTGTATTGCTCAATCATATTTATTTGACTTTGTCCAACTTTTTAATTTGAGTTTGCGACTCATAACATATTTTACTGTCTATATAATAAGCAAAACTGTTTGCTAATTATCATATCTCATTAAAAAATACAGCTAAATCGCGTTCTAAAAAGTTTAAAACAAGAAATTCATTTTAAAGCGATAGCTATGTTATAATAGCGATGATCAAAGGACAGCGTAGTCGTATGCCACTGATCGTAACAAAAACAAACTGTTGTGGCTTACGACTACTCTGCCCTTTGGCCATCGCAATTTGGAACAGTAGTCTCTATAAAAGAAACTTGTTTTGAACTTTCTTAGAGCGTGATTTAGCTGTAGGGTTTTAATTATTGAACTTATTTTTTTTTAATTAATTTTCAGGTATATTTAAGCAAAATCGCAAACAAAAGCTATCAATATATATATAATGTGCTAATTAAGCCCTTTCATTTGGTACCCTACACGAAATGATTGAATAATATATACAAATTTTTTGTTTCTTACTTGATGTTATCTAGAGGGCGCTATTGCCAATTTAATGTAACGTCACATAGCTTATAGCACGATGACAACTAAGACGTTTCTAATGACACCTCATTTGTCCAGTTACGGTGAGTAGTTACGAAATTATAACGAAACAGATGAACATTCTTACATATATACATACCGGCAAAATCATAACCCTCCATTTCGTTTTGCCGCCGTAGTCGGGTAAAAAGACATCAACATCATCTTACTGTCCTGTCCCTGTTCCTCTAGTTATTCAACCATCCATCAACTTCCAGCTTCATCTCATCATTCTCTTGTTAACATTAATTTCGCCCCTTATCATAATATAAACGTCCAGACTCTTGTCTTTCTGTTTGTCTGTTACTAATACCACTAGTAAAAGTATGAATAGGTCGTCCCCTTCTCCCGATTAATAAAATTATATTACACTACCCGCTTTCCCGCGACTTCGCCCTCGTAAATTATAGTCTGTGACATCCGCGTATAACGTAGCTTCTCGTCGGTAAAAGAATTTTTAAAATCGGTCCAGTATTTTTGGAGTCCTTTCGTACAAACAAACAATCAAATTTATCCTCTTTGTAATGTTGGTAAAGATGTTATATTAAATTGCATACTTAAGAAAATTAATTTATAGAATTTCAATTTAGTAACGTCCTTAGAGTTAAAGTTTTTTCGATCTCGAATTTTTTTTATAACTTAAATACTAGTACATACATAATTGTGCTCTAGTATAAAGTTTGCGACTTTGTCTGAAGAATTCTTATTAACAAAAATACGTACACACCTCTCTCTTGGAAAATTAAAAAAACAAAAAGTAAAAAACTCGAATAAATTATATCATACATTTTTCTTAACACTTTTGTGACACATCTAGTTTTGTATTTTATTTTAACTAAGAGGTCAATTATTAAATAATAAAATAAAACAATAATTCAGACAAGTTTTAAATAAAACTTATTAGTAGTCTAGTTCTCAGAAGTTTGTAAAAATAATAGAATAAAAAATATTATTATACAAAAGTCAATACTAGTGAATTTAACTCTACCAAACTATTTCCCTGTACGTATATATTTGTACATCGATAAAGTCGGCAGATTATAGGTATGTACTTTCATCGAAAACAATACCATTTTCTGGAACCACTTTCTGCAAATATTTTATTTGTGATTTTAACTCATACATTAATTATAATTATTTAATTCGTAGGTAAAGTTCTTATTATAAAAGATAGTTGATGTTTAAATCAATGAGTCGTAACTTTTTTAACAGAGAAAACTTTATAGAGTTAATACCGACTTCATAGATGTATAATATAAAATAAAGAATGCAAAAAAATAGTTTTTCACACTATCTAGATGCGTTTTGTAACCAAAAGTAGTATTTTTTTTTTTCACATTCATCTACCATAGAATGATATAGATACAATTAAATTATGTAATGTGTACTTATCACGTCATCGGAAGAAACTTATATTGCCTATAGAAATTCATTGCAAGGATCGTTTGGTACAAATTAAGATACTGACTTGGAAAAACTATAGTGTAAATGAATGTTTATAAACATATCTATAGCAATAAAAAGTTTTAAAAAGATTTCTTACCTTTAGGTGTAACAACTCTGAAGGCGCTATTGGAAACGGGTCTCGGAGATGACTCCCGGATACCACCAGGGGATCCGTTCCCGCTTCTAACCATGGAAAAGTCCAGCGGCATAGGAGGCATAGCACTAATTTCCATTTTTAAAATATATAAAAAGTCCGCATAACCAAACTCGCGAATTAAATAAAAAAAAACGAAATCTCAAAAAAAGAGAACAACCGATTCTGAAAATTTTTAAATTTGGAAATCGCGTTCGAGTTTCTAAAACGGAACGGCCGCAGAGCGTGCGACCGGCACGGGCGGCGAGTATGTATTAAGGCCGACACACACTCTGGTCGAGCTCGTCGGCTTTCCGTTCACTAAAGCCGAAAATCTCTCGAATCTCCATACTGATTTCGACCTTATCGCTGCGCCGTTTTTCTGTGGGCGTGGTGCGATAGGCCCCGCCTCACCCTTGCCGCCATGTGCGGCCCGCGAGTGACAATCACTTTGTATAGGTAACACAATAATATGATTCGTGATGGATTTTATTGTGCTACCGATGCATTGTTCGGGATACTTCTTTTTTTCGAAAGATGTATATACCTTGCCTTATATATTACGTTAGCTCTCTTCATATATTATTGGTATAGTTTGAGCACTCATTCGTCTAGTATTTCTGAAATTTAAAAATTGTATTCAAAAACTTATATTAAAAAAAAGAGACAACATAATAATGTGCCCGATTTTAAATTAAAAAGTAAATTAGAAGAAATAAAAATAATAAAAAATTGTAAAAAATTGTAAAAAATGCCTAAAATTTTACCTCATGTTAAAAAAGTTGATTTAAATGTGAGTATAAATGATAAGAGCATGGGTCTTATGATACCATGGTATTTTTAGGAATAACATTAGATTCTAAACTATAGTTTGGTCCACTTATTAATAAATTGTCGAATAGACTTAGCTCTGCAGCATATGCCGTAATGAAGATACGTAGGTTAACTGATATAGATACTGCCAGATTAGTATACTTCAGTTACTTACATAGTGTGATGTCGTACGGAATCCTATTGTGGGGAAATGCTGCCGACATACAAATGATTTTTGTGCTTCAGAAAAGAGTAATTAAATCAATTTATAATCTTAGGATTAGGGACGCTTTAAAGGAGAAATTTAAGGAAATAGACATAATGACTGTTGCTTCTCAATACATATACTAGAACTTAATGAACGTTTTTAAAAATATTAGTTTGTTTTCTATAAAAAGTGATGTACACAATTTTTATACAAGGAATAAAAATTAATTAAGGGTGCCTGTCACTAGACTGCAAAAAGTTAATAACTCATTCAAGGGTCTTTGTGTGCGCTTCTACAATGAGGTCCAAAGCAAAATACAACAAAAAGATATCATGCAGTTTAAATCTACTAATAAAAAAATACTTATTAAAAAAGCTTATTACAAGGTATCCCATTATATAACAAATAAGAATGCTTGGAATTAAGATGGTCCAGCAATTGGATAGGTGATTTCTTCTAAACTCATTATATCTCATAAATTATCTTGTTGCCATTATTATTAAACTGTTATGTTATCATTATAAGACCATAGTTTTTATATCTCTATTGATAATGAATTGATCTGGTTATAACATTGTTATAACCAGATCAATTTGTGAAGAGCTACTGAATTTCTTGCTTTCTTGCGTTCTTCTTATCAGCCAAATACGTCCTGAACGAGTGGTAGAGAAAAAAATGTTGTAGGATTCTATTTGAATAAAGATTATTTTTACTTTAACTTTGATAAAAAAATATGAATTTTATTTCATTTTGTCATTTAGAACGCTTTTACTTTCAGAATAAAAATAATGTTTGTACCTCTACATTGGAGTAATTAGAGAATTAATTTATCTGATATCTTATTAGTCTCAAAAGAAAATAATGCCCAGTGCCATTCATTAAATATTACATAAAAGTCGTTAGAGTCAATCTAAAATTAAATCGACACATATTTTGGGGCGGTCGTCATAAAAGCCGAAATTCGTCAGAAGATGATACAATTATCACTCGAACGCGACGAATTAAGCCCGCGGGGCCGTCACGTACCGACATTTAAAACAATGAACGGTTCAATTTTTCACCGGCTGTGGACCCCCGGACGCCGGATACGGCGCTAATCCAGCCCTGTGCTCCGATGACCGTATTCCAAATTTAAAATTTCTTTCGTCGATGTTACAATTTTCTTTTTTTTATGTTAAATATTTATTACGAATACTTATTCGGTAAATAGAAACTTTATTAAATGACCTACCTGATAAAATAGTATTGTAAGTTTAATAAAAATAAACTTTATTATTTATGCTCTAAAAATGTATATATCAATTTTAATTTTATTGAACCTGTAATGGAACCTAGCCGTTAGTCCTTAGGCCTAAAGATATTCCGACACAGCAGTTAATAATGACGTAATACAATGTTTAACAAGAATACGTTGTATATCAATGTATAACATTTTGCTACATTTTGTGTGAGAAGGTTTGTTGCAGCGACTTACTTTAACAATACAAACATGTTAAATTACCGGCTAAACAAATAATGATGTGTGAATGGCGTCAAAACTTAAACTGTTGGCTATAATCACCCAAGGAAGAAAATAGTGTCACGTATTCCGCAGTCAATTTTAATGTCAGCTTGAGAGATGTTGTCAAAATCATCTTTAACTTTAACCACTATTATGGTGTAATGGTTTAAACCATAATAGTGGTTAACTTATATTGTAAACTTATTGTATAAAATCTAGAAGTACGCATAATTTTTTATTACACTTCTCACAAACAGTTTAAAAATGTTGTTACAATTTGTTTTATTTTTTGTGTGGGATCACCTTTACTAATAAATAATGTAAGTATCGTGTTGTTATAGGTATTTACACTATTTTATTCAAATTAAATTACATAAAATAGTGGAAATCAAAAAATCTATAAAAAGTGAAATATTACAAAATGCTGCCAGAATAAGGACTCTTGCTTGCTTTGCGAAAACTAATTACACCACGGGCTTCGCAATGATAAAGCAAAGCCGTCGTATAGGATATTTTTATTCGGGACAAAATGAAATTCCCGTGCGCATAACGCAAGGGAATTTTGAACCTTACTTCTTAGTTTTAAAGTGCAATATCGTCAAGTGTCATTAATATTCTGACAGTGTTGGAAAAATTTTTACTAGGTACTCCGCGTAAAATAATCCGAGCATAATCTCGTCGGGAAAATCCCATTATTTTGATCACCACCCTCCCCAACAGAACGTGCGAATGAAACAAAGGCCTTGCTTGGAACAGCGAGTTATCCGAGTTTGTTCAGAGCAAAGCCGGATAGTTCTCTTGTTCTCTTACTGGTGGGAAAATCTGTAAAGTATACAACAAATATAAGACATAATAACTAATTAAATATATGTTGTAGATACTTAAATATTGGTTTTTAGTGGTAAGGCCTTCCTATCTTACCGTGTTAGGTGGTTAATATCAAATCATGCAAGCTTATACACACTTCCTGGTTTTCGATTGCGATGAAACTTACCATACATTTATTACAGAGATGACAATTTAATATTATATGGAATGGAGATGATCTGATGATGAATTGCAACATAGCCATTGTGTTATTAAGCGAAACTTTATACTTAATTTGTCTTAACAATATCGCTGGCCTAAGCTTGAGTAGGATTGTTTCGAAGTCATGATAAACACATCATACGCAGGTGATAAAGGCAATAATTAATGCGGACAAAGTCGCAGGAAAACGGTTTCTTAAATAAAAAGCTATAGACCAAAGACGTTCTTTCATTGATCCCAGAAATCTATTCTTTGATAAAAGTATGAAAATGTTTCTGTCCATTAGGAACTACGTTTACATATACAGACGTAGAGAATAGACCCCCGGAAATAGGAGTCCTTTTGATTTTACGGATTCAGTAATAAAATTTCTTGAGGTTGAAATTTATAGAGCGTTAAGGGCAGCTGATTTTTGCCGCTATGTGTTGTTTTATAGATATAATAAACATATAAATAGGATTTTTGTAATTAAATTCATATTACAACCTAACAATCCGCTGCTTCTTAGGACGGATTCCCCATTGCTGACGGTCAAATGAAGAAAGATAAGGATAGCCTTATCTTTCTTAGTGGTGACGTAGATTGCATCTTTAATTAAGTAACGTTATTAGTTTAGTTTAGTTTAGTAAGTAAAATTACATTAGTAGGTTAACTAAGTTTAGTTACGTTGGCAATAACTAATACTAACGAAACTAGTAAACGAAACGTAACTGACTACACTTACAGCATGTAGCGGTTTTGGTCACACCAAGAAGAGCATATCAAACATTTACACTTCGATAAGTAAAGCTCTGTGGCGAGATTAGTTCTTTTGGTATACAAACGGTTACACGCACACACGTATAAAAAAATAATTAAGGCCCTTAAGCTAAAACTTTCGTAATTTCTTTAGTAAAAAAAAAATATTAAATAAGCAGCAGGTTCATACTAAAATTTTGTGATTTTAATGCGAACTATGATAAAAAAGTATGTAGTAATTTTAAAAGGTGCAACAGACGCAGAAACAGAATCAGAAGTTAAAATTTCAGCAGAAACGGATGCGGAAACAGAATTGTAAAAACTATAAACTATAAAATAATAATTATTTTTTACTAAAAGTACCTAAACTTCTACAATTGCTGAATCGGAAGCAGAGGTCTGTTGCATCACTAGTATTTTTTTACTATTGCATAATGACATAACGTTTAAGTTAGGGTTTAACAATCAGTTGCACAAACGTCCATTAAAATTGTCATTAGTTTAAAGCGACATTACCCATACAAATTCGACATTAATTAGAGTTTAAAGGAGTCATTAAAACTTAAGGGATGTTTTTGCAACTTACCGTAAAAGTATTAAGTGGGTCACGAAGGGGCAGTGTAAAAATTACCGGGCCATGGCAGAACAATGTTTGGCACCACGCGTAGCACAACTAACTCGAGAAGCGCTTAGTCTACAACTAACGTTACTTTTCTTGGCATCGAGAGTGCGATAATCATTTTACAAAAATCAAACGTATGATCGATTGCTTGCTATAAATAAAAACATATATTTCAATAATTGTCTTGTAAAAATCAAAACTTCACACGCATATGACTGTTTACTCTGTGGTAAGGTGTCTATAGTCTGTCTCATGAAATTCCCAAAGGCCTGGCGTCCCTGTCGTATGACAAAGCATTGCTTACCTCTATTACTAATTTTATGTAGTTAGAGATCTATCTACAGATGTCACTGCCAACAAAATTTT